AATTCGATTACATCTTTTCGCAAATATTTCTCTTTCTAAATAATATGGTTTGATCATAGCTTGGGCAAATTTAGTGATGAACGGAACCAAAATCTCCTCAATTTCGGATACTGTTCAAAATACTTAGGGCTGCTCGGTCACGATCGTGGACGTGACATAATCAATACATACTGACAATACCGCCTTACCCAGGGTTGAGCAGCATATCAAATCCGACGATAGTTTGTCGCTTGATGCTGTCCCACCCCACGTAAGGCAGTATTGTCAGTATGTATTGATTACGTCACGTCCACAATCATGCCCGAGCAGCCCGAAGTATTTTGAACAGTATCCGAAATTGAGGAGATTTTGGTTCCATTCATTGCTAATTTTGCCCAAGCTATGATCAAACCATATTATTTAGAAAGAGAAATGAAAGAGAAATCCTTGTGAAAAGAATGTCATTGAATTTGTTTTGGCGTACGACAAGTTTTAGCAGAGATATTTGACTTTGAAGGCGATGCGGTCGTGCAGCCAGTGATTAGCCTTTTACTGTTATATTATATATAATGAGCACACACAATGTGGGCCACAGAAAATGTTACATCAACCGCTTTAAATGAGCTCATGGAGTAATTAAAAGAATGCAAAGGTATTATACTATCATGTCAACTATATTTTATTGTTAAAATGTATTTTATTTGAATAATTTGAGAATGATTTTAGAATAGTTTTGCTTGACTATAAATTTGTTTATAGAAACAATAAAAAACCCGTGACACCTGATCATTCATTCTGAGATTGGGCCGCCTGTGGTTCAAGAACAGTTAAAGAGTATTCCTCCCATAAATCTCAAATGCTTTAAAGATTATCGGGTTAGCTGTTCAAGTATTAAAACGGTAGTCAAAGCATCGAGTCACTATGAAGCTGCTTTTAAAACAGCCGTCATCTTTCACGAAAACAAACTGACAAATACAGATATAAATATAAAGTCAATCGACAAGACAGTCATGGTTTATCAGTGGAGAATGGAGACTTTTTTGAATATTCCATGACGACTGGCTAAAGATGGGAAAATTTATCCACATGCCACTCTCATAATGATGCACATAACACTGCAAGAAAATGGAGAAAATATCTCTCACTCTGACAAATACAACCAATACACAATATTCGAATTTGGACAAGTTGTCAAGTCTGCATTCAGTCTGCTTTGAGTAATGTCTTTGGTTTTACATCGTTTAAATCACAACAGCAGGAAACTATTTTGGCTACGCTGGCTGGAAAAATGTCTTGGCCATCTTATCGACAGGTGGAGGGAAGAGTTTAACTTTTATGTTGCCTTCTGCCATATCAACAAAGCTAACAATAGTGATTTCTCCTATCGTTTCACTCATAGACAATCTTTTTGATAGAGCATCAATGTTCGGACTAAAATCGTGTATGTTTCACGCATTGCAGAGGAGGATATGACAAAAAGCCTAATGAATCTAAAGGACTATAAGATGGTATTTACTACTCCTGAAATGTTACTGGATCGCCTGTTAGATGTAGTTTTTTCTCTCAACAAGGAACATTGTCTTGCAAGAATAGTGTTTGATGAAGCACATGCAGACATTCCAACCACTGGAGGTAAAATTTAGGGAGACTGTTCAGTGAATTGAAATCTAGTTCTTCTGGGGAAAAATAATAAAAATTAAGTCTTCTGAAATGGTGTTTCCTGCATTTTGGGACTATGTTATTATAAGTGATCCTATAAATTGCCATAAAGCAACTTCAAAAATGGTCAAGACAGACTATTATTTTGCTAAAAACAGTATATTTATAATTTTTTTATGATATTTCCTGAATATTCTGAAAAATCGGGAGAATTTGATAAAAATCGGGAGACCGGGAGATTGCATAATTTTCGGGAGACTCCCGGTAAAATCGGGAGAGTTGGAATGTCTGCACATGTTGTATCAACATGGGGGAGAACATTCCGCCCACAGTACAAAGATGCTGCTGAAAAAATGGCTGAACTTACTGCCCCCAAACTTTTGTTAAGTGCAACAGTATCTTACCGAATTCAAGAGGATCTAAGAGCTACATTTGGTAATAATTCTTGGATAGTCATATCCCAATCTATACATAGAGAAAACCTTACAATTAAAGTGTTGGATAAATGCAATGGGAACAAGTTCTATGATGAACTCAGAGACTTCATTCATGATCATCATGATGAGAGTGGAATTATGTGGCCAAGGTCCATGCAGAACTACGTAAAAGGGATATAAGTTGTGTTAAATATCATGGACAGTTGGATGAGGATTCCAAGCATATAAGCTTTGAACAGTGGATGAGTGGACAAAAGAAAGTAATTGTGGCAAATTCCTCATTTGGCATGGGCATTGACAAGTCAGATGTACAACTTCTTTTTTATAGACACGGTCGATTTGGTGTCCGTTAATTGTGATATTTGGCATGTGACTTAAGTTTTCCAATCGTTGTCTAAATCCAATAATCATATATCTAGTTTTTTAACGTTTATTGTTAATTTATTTGCTGATAGCCATTTGTGAATATTTATTAGATCATTGTTGAGTTTACTTTCAATATCTATTGATGAATTTCCTTGACATTTGACATGATAGTTGTGTCACCTGCAAATAGATTTGCATGGGTTGATTTAAGGCATTTCAGGAGAAAAATTAGGAATAATAGAGGACCAAGGTTAGATCCTTGGGGTACCCCACAATGAATTGTTTGAATATTTGATCTACAATTATTTAGAATGCAAATTTGCTTTCTTTGATCCAGATACGACTGAAACCATTTAAGTGCAGTACCACACACTCGATAAGCTTCAAGTTTTGTTAATAGGATCTGGTGGTCAATTGTATCGAACGCCTTTTTAAGGTCTAAAAATATAACCCCATTAATTAAACCTTGGTCCATTGCCTTTAACCCATAGATATTTTATATACACTAGATAACGCATCTCTTTTAGTAAAACTGAAGCCAAGAATATTCCAGCGGTTACCCCCATTTGAATAGATGGTGGCCATGTTGGTCATTCCCACTCGCTAGTAAACACTTAAAAACAACAATAACTTTCATCATTTGAATACTTTAAAAATGTATATGGAATAGGGTTAACTTAATATTTAAGTTCCCTGTTTAAGAAATAGGAAATATACGTGTCTTCTCTCATTTCATGGGAACGACCTGAGACTGCAATCACAGCTTCAATTTTTGAATTGCAGAATAATTAGATGCACTATCTAGTGTATATAAGATATCTATGCTTTAGCCACATTTCTGTAGATTGAAAGTAGTGAGGTTTTAGTGGAGTGATAACAACGAAGACCTGATTGGTTGTTAACAATTATATCATTGTGGTCTAGAAAGGTATTTAGTTGTTTGCTGACCAGTTGGTCTATAGTTTTCACAAAGCGTTTTGTCATCAGTTTTATATATTGGAGTTACCTTTGCAAGTTTCCAATCATCAGGAAATTTTCCTGTTTCAAGTGATATGTTAAATATATATACAAGCGATTCAAATATTGTCTCATCAGCCTGTTTCACAAGCTTAGTTGAAATTTTGTCTAGACCAGTCGATTTTCCAATTTCCAAATTTTTAATTTCTCTTTTTATATTATGAATTGATATATTTGTAGCATTATTCATGTATGACAGAGGATGTGGACTAGTGTCTCTATCAGTGATATTATTAGCCAAATTAGGACCTATGGACGTGAAAAATTTGGACTCCTCAACTATGTCTTTCTTATCGGTTATCTTATTTCCCTGACCTATATTCAGTTTGTTGACAGTTGTGGCTTTGGATTGCCTATTTAAAAGATTATTTAATGTATTCCAACCCTCTTTACTAGTTTTACTGTTTTGGAGTTTAGTGTTGTAGTATCGGGCCTTATTTGCTTTAATTACTTCGTTAAGTTTGTTTCTACAACGTTTATACGCTTCTTGGTAATTAGAAGAGTTGAATTTAATTGCTTTTTGTTTTAAATAGTATTTATGGTATGCAATGTTTTTAATATTATTTGTCATCCAAGGACAGCATTCACTTTTGACTCTCCGAAGTCGAATTGGTGCATGTAGGTTTGCAATATCAAGAAAAATAGTTTTCCATACTTCCCACGCATGGTTTGGGTTGGAAAAATTACAAGAGTTATAGTGGTTATGGAAAGCCATTCTTAGGTTGTGTTGGAATGCAGTAGAGTCCAAGTATTTAAACTGCGTTGTCTAAACCAGTTTTGGTTCAGACTTCGGTATGCCAACCTTCCAACAAATATATACTAAACTATGGTCGCTTATACCTAAATGTATAACTCCAGATTCAATGATTTTTATACCGCTTGCTTTAGTTATTATTACATCAATGTTTTAGTTGTCGGTGTTATTCTTGTCGGACTCTTGATGTGCTGCTTTAATTGATATTCATTTATTAAGTGTGACAATTGTTTAGTATGATGTGTGGGATTAGTGGCAATCATATCGCAATTTAGATCGCCAGTAATATCTACATTTTTATTGCTTATTTCCTGTAAAAGCTTTTCAAAGTCATTCAAAATATTAATATTTGAATTGGGCGGGTGATACCATGTAATGACTAGAATCGGTTTAGCCTTAGGTTTTGAATTTTGACACAGATTCTAGGTTGTCTGGAATAAATTCAGTATGATTTATATAATTCATAGTACTTTTATATAGATTGCAACCCCACCACCATTGCGATCTCAGTCTCGTCTTATAATGTCATAACCTGGTAGCTTAATAATGTTATCAGTTATAGTATTGTCTAGTCTAGTTTCGTTAATGCAAATTATGTCGAAAGATATTTCATTCATGAATAATTTGAGTTCATCTATATATTTAGAAAGACTAGTTATATTTAAATGACCGATTTTAAAGCCCTTTAGTTTTGGATAATGCTCGTCAGGAAACAACGTATTATTTTTTTTGCTTTTCTCTGAGGGACAGCGCTCTGGATTATCAATATTATACTCTGAAACATTATTTCAATGCAATACGTCTAATGAAAGAAGTGTTGTCTTAATGTTCTTAGCTAGAATTGCAGTACCTTGTTTAGTAAGGTGAATACCATATGCATTCAAATGCATAAATTTAATGTTTTGGTTTCTAAGTACCTCCCAGTTCTCACTTTTACACAACTTGTCTAACCCTTCATTAACTTCTCTAACCTTGTCAGCTAATCCTTTGTTATCACCTCTAACAATCAATTCAGAAAAGATAATATTTGTATCCGGGTTTTCCGTCTGTATGGCCTGTCCAAGTTTACGAATTGACTTTACAATTTGTGTTGGTGGTTTCTTATTCAGGTCGTTTGTTCCTGAATGTATTATAACGTGTTTTGGTTTCTTGGATAGGCTTGGTTTCGCATAATGTATCATATCGCCAGCGCCAGGGAATGTTTTAATCGTAACATTCTTATTTAAACCAGTACGTAGTTTCCTTGCGTTCACATATTTTATCATGGAGGCACCCAAGCTAGCAATATCATTAGTACGAAATTCTTGAGCTTGAGATTCATGTGCTTGTGCTGGAGATTCTTCGATATTCATGTTTACTCCAGTAGAACCAGGCGTGTAGCCATGTTTGGGATAAGTTTGCTCAACATCTATCGTAATATTTTCGTCGTCATCCTCTACGTTTAATAAACTATATCGTCCTTGGTTTAGTTTAGAGTTCTGTTTGCTATTTTAGTTCAGTTTACGATTCTCTTTGTTGTGTAAAGCGGGGTTCGATATGTGTATTGAGCAGGAGAAAATGGGCTACAATCGACGTATTTTATCAGTCTTTAATGAAAACATAAAACTACTAAAACATGTGTTCATACAATGTTGATAACCATTTTGGTGGCGAGACGCACCCGCTATCTCAAGTACATTACAATGTTTACTTAGTGTAAGTGTCCATGACATCCTCCGGGGGGGAGGTGTTCAATATGTTTGTCCATTCAGATATTCTCTTTAACGCGTTATTGACTGCAGTTCGTTTACTTCTGATCTCTGGTCTCTGTGGTGCTACGCCTTTCGATTTATGTTCTGTTTTGGTCATGATATCTGCTCGCACTTCAAGGGAATATAATTTTGCAATGGGTCTGTTTGTCTGGCTGGTTGAGGTATGTAAGTTTGCTGCTCAGATAAGGCTGTCGTTTCCCGTAATAAGATCTTCTATCACAGCAAGTTTCCATTTTTTTCTTGGACTATCGTCGTGAATCAAGACTACTTCTCAGACATGGATGGTTTGGTTGTTCTTTCGAGTCATTTTATGAAATTCTCGAAGAGAAGTAAGGTATTCAGCTTTAGATCGTGACCAAAAATGTTGGAGGATAAGTGCTTGTATTTGGGCTCTTCTTGTTATTTCCGAGTTGTTTCCAAAGTTCGGATCGTTGATTTCATCATCTTCCACAATCAGGTGGGGAAGGGAGGTGATACGTCGTCCGTACAATAAATGAGAGGGTGTGAGGGGTTCTTCGTGTTCGATATCGCTGGATACATACGTAAGTGGTCGATCATTTAGTACCGCCTCAATTTGGACAATGATCGTCTGAAGACCTGAAAGAGTAACATGGGCACGTCCTAATACTTTCTTTAGAACTGTCTTTGTGAGACCGATGAGTCTTTCCAAAACCTGCCATACCACAGGGCTCGCTTTGGGATGAAGTGCCACTCTACTCCTCGTCGATTAAATGCTTCCTTTAGCGATGTGGATTGAAAGAGACGTTTGAGTTCCTCCGCAGCCAAGAGATATGTTGAACCATTGTTGGAAACCATCTTTCGTGGTAGGGATTTTCGACTTGCGAATCTGCGAAAGGCTTTCAGGAATGTTTCTTCACTTAGATCTTCAACGACTTCCAAATGCAGGGCTCGTGTAGCCGCACACGTAAATAGACAAATGTAAACCTTTTCTTCTTTGGTTGGTGTTTTCACGAAAAGTGCATCTTTGATGTCTACGCCAGTGGCTGAAAACGGTGTTGAGTCTTGAACTTGCCATTTAGGTAAAGGTACTGGATCTGGGACTGTATAGGGTTTGCCACTTTGTTTTCGGCACACAACACATTTGCATAGCAGTTTCTTGATTACTTGTCTGGCTCGTGGGATTCAGAATCTGTCACGAAGGGCAGTTAAAGTTGAATTTACACCAGAATGTAGTTGAGCAGTGTGAATAGAGTGGATGATCAAGGTGGTGAAAGGGTGATCTACAGGTAGCAAAATGGGGAACTTGGCTGATTGGTTGATCGGAGCGTTGTGGATTCGTCCGCCAGAGCGGATAATGTGGTGTTGGTCAAGGAATAATCATAGCTGTTTTACTAATAGTAGGCGCGAACTGTTCTTTGTGGTTAGGTTAACAAGCTCTGCAGGGTAGGTTGTGTGTTGGCAACACTGTATCCAAAGGTTCTTGGCTGTATTGGTCTCATTAACAGTTAGTGTCCCAGTTCGCTTAGGAGTTCGCTTGATGAGGCTGTTGATGAATCTGAGAACGTAGGCGGTAACGTGGATCAAGGTAGTCAGACTGCTGTATCTCAATATATCAATAATGTTATGTATACCGGTGTCACCTGAGAAGCTTAGGGTTGACGGGTCTTCCATTTGGATTGGTTCGTTTTCTCGTACTTGCTGATCGGCTTCGACTAATAGTGTAGTTGTTGGTGTCCAGGCAGGCCATTTTACAGCAGGTAAGGTGAGCCACGATGGTCCATTGTTCCATAACGTTGATGAATGCATCTGGGTTGTAGTGAAACCGCGTGTTAGGAAGTCAGCAGGATTCTCATTTGTTGGGCAGTAGTGCCAAATGTTGGAAGGAAATAAATCTTTGATAGATCTTACACAGTTTGCAACGAATTGTTTGAGTTGTTTATTGCTACTTAGCCAATGTAATACGATTTGGCTATCGGGCCATAGGTGAACTTCTAGGGCGTTATAACGATTCTTGATTGCGTTGTGAATAAATGAGGCTAGTCGCGCACCAATTAAGGCTGCCATAAGTTCTAATTAAGGCATTGTCAATGTTTTGATGGGAGCAACACGTGTTTTTGCCATAACAAATGCAACTTGAGAATGTTGTTGAAGGTATGCCACTGCACGGTAGGCTAGTTTACTCGCATCAACCAAAACATGGAGTTGTGGTGTGTGGTGTGTTATGGGAAACTGTGGGCATTAAATGGTAGCGACGTGGTATAATGGTTTGTTGAGCTGCAAACAAATCTACAGCTAATTTGAGCCATTCTTGTTGAAGTTGTTCGTTGAGGGGTTCATCCCAATTGATTGATTGTTGCCACAGTTGTTGCATGAAAATCTTGGCTCTGATTGTTACAGGAGCTATTATCCCAAGGGGATCGAAAATGCTGGAAGAGTGTTGCAGAACTTCGCGTTTAGTGATCAGTTCGTGGCTGTTAGGTATGGATTTCTTGGTTGCAAAATGAATGGTATCAGAGGATGTGTTCCATTGTAGGCCGAGAACATTGATATCAGTTTCTGGAGTTGTGTCAACTGTTCCATCTTTACTTGCTTTCTGCTGAAGAGTCGGACTATTTGAGGCCCATGAGCATAGGTTGAACTTAGCTTCAGTCATAATCGATCTTGATTCGTCATAGTATTGGGAGGCATTTAATTCGGTATCAGCACCAGACAGAATATTGTCCACGTACATGTTGTCCTTCATGTTGCGTGCAACAGGGGTTGAAAATTGCTCGAGGTGTTTTTGAAGGGTGGCATTCAACATGAATGGTGAACTGGTGGTGCCAAAGGAACTGCTTTGAAACGGTAAGTGTCGAAGGGGCTATCTGATGGATGGGTCTGACAACCACAGGAATCGGGTAAAATCTCTATCACATTCATGAAGATGTAAATGGTGAAAGGTTTTTTCGATATCGGTCGCTATGCCGTAGTTGTAGGTGCGAAAATGAAGCAGAATAGCCGTCATGTCATTCAGCAATGGTGGACCTGCTTGGAGACAATCGTTAAGACTTGTTTTGTGACTGGCGACAACTGCACTCGTAGACTATTCGGATGGGGGTGGTGGACGAAATCTTCCGTAATGGATGGTGCGGGATGTAATGTGAGTTGCTAGTTGGTGTAGGGTCTGGAATCTTCTCAATAAATCCTTTTTCTAATTGATCATTGATAATTGTTCCGTAAGTCTGTAACAATTCCGGACTGTGGCTTAATCTTTGTACGGTTGATCTGGTACGTTTCTGGCAAATAGAAAAGTTCAAAGGCAATGCTGGATGATTGTCTTTCCACGGAAATTTCGCAGTGCTACTTTCATCGTTGTTGGTAGTTGGTCTGGTGATGCCTAAGGACTCGAGGGACCAAATTTTTTCAAGTTGTTGATCTTCTTTGTAGTGGGAAATCATGACATTAAGGATGTTGGTGGGAGTTCTGTCACCCGCTGGCAATACAGACAAAAGGTATCCTAACTTTGATTGCATTTGTGTGGGACCATTTCCCCGAATGATATGGTCTTCAACGAAATCCCAGTAGTGATCTGCACCTATTAATAGGGAAATCTCAAAAGTTCTCATCGCTGGTGACTGGGTGGGCGAACTTGAGCTGTCTAAGGTAGGGAAGATCTTTGATAGGGGCTCTAACCTTATTCTGAATTGGGGTGGCAATCTTAGGCACAATAAGAACTTGGATAGGAATACTTCCAGATGATTCTGTTTCAATGTTGATGGTGGCAACATCGAGGTTTCTCTTTGTTGCTGCGCTTGCTCCGAATGCTGAAAGATTAATAGTTTCTTTCGGGGCAAAGACAGAGTTTCGTGGCTAGAGCCTGTGCTATAAAGGAGCGTTGAGCACCTTCGTCAAAGAGTAGGTTGGCTTCTGCACAAGTGGTTGCTGAGCTAATGGCAGTTTTGAGTAGGGATGTTTGGGTCTCATGTTTCACTTGCTTAGAAGTTGTAGGAGTTGACTGGGTGGATGTCAATGTAGCAAGAACTGGTGGATCCTTATGTTACTGATTTTCACCTTTACAAAGACTTCTGTGATGCTTACGATTACAACTCTTACATCTGTTTTTCGAACGACACGGTGAGGTTTTGTGATGTCCGAGACAGTTAAAGCATAGGTCAGCATTCTTAACAATATCATACCGCTGCTGGGGGTCGGTGACAACTTTGCATGCATTTGATGAGTAACCTTGTTGGCAGTAGGTACACTTAGGGGTCAGTTGCTTGTTACGAGGTGGTGTGGGTGGGGGTGGAGATGACCGCATGCCTTCTGCATGAGTGTGAAATGATGATGTAACTGATGATGTTGTTTGGTGGTTTTCTCTTGTGCTCGAGTTAGTAAATTGCCCTGCTTCTAGAATTCTCAACTCCTTGCATATAGCATTTCTAAGCTGACCAATTGTCCAGTCTAGAGTCCCATGCTCCCAGCTAAATTTTTTCTGAATTCTGTTGGTAGTTTCCCAAGTACGATGGGAATTAATAGGTCACCGTACGATTCTTGGCTTTTTCTAAGACATGCAAGTCCTCGAATGTGGGCTTCTAAAATGTCATGGAAGCTTCGAAAACTATCCAGATGTTCACTTGGTGGGGGAATTTCTAAGAGAGCCTGCATGTGTGCATTTACAATCTTGCGAGGTTGTCCAAATCTATCTTTAAGGAGCTTAATGGCTTGATCATAGTTACTGTTAGTGAGGGGAAATCCTGCTATTGTTTGTAGTGCTTCTCCCACAAGTTGTCCTTTCAAGTAATTGAATCTTTGTATGCCATTTAACGACGGATTGTTGTGTACTGCTGCATCAAATGAATCCCAGAATGACTGCCACTTAAGGGGGTTACCTGCAAACACAGAAAGACTTAGCTTTGGTAGACAACAAATATTTTGTGGTGGAATACTAGCAGTTGATGGCTGAGGACTAGGTGGTAATGTTAATATATCGTCAGTCGGCAGATTTTTGTTGTGTAGGTGGGGGGCCCCCAGGCTCATTTAATACATCACTTGAATTGATTACTGGAGATGGTGATTCTTGAATTTCTTGTGTTTTGGCTTGTGTTTCAAGTGACTGAGTTGAAGTGGATGCCTGATTTCCTTGTGTAAACTGATTTGATTGACTCGACAATGAACCACAATGTACTTACGTATGTGATTCAGTTTTTCTTCCAAATCGCAGCTTAGCTCTTCAGATTCGTATATTCCTGTTTCTAGTTGCTTTGGATCGGTGATTTTTGCTGCAATCTTTTCGTCTAGTTCTCGTACTAATTGCTGTATTCTTGTTAGTTGTTCCAGGGTAATTTTAAGTGTCGTCAGCGCTATTTCATGAAGGCTCCACTTTGAGGATTTCGCTTGCTTTATTTAACACTTTCAATAGATGAAATTTATGCCCTCTTCGAGACGATTGTAGTCGCGCTATTTCCTCCATCCTGGTCACGGCACCAAATATTGTGTAAAGCGGGGTTCAATATGTGTATTGAGCAGCAGAAAATGGACTACAATCGACATATTTTATCAGTCTTTAATGAAAACATAAAACTACTAAAACATGTGTTAGTACAATGTTGATAACCATTTTGGCGGCGAGACGCGCCCGCGATCTCAAGTACATTACAATGTTTATTTAGTGTAAGAGTCCATGACACTCTTCTGTTTGTATGACTTCATCGGGTTTGTCCTCAGCCTCAGGAACAATTATAATTTTGGTGTTGGAGGGCTCTTTATGGCTATCATTGTCTACTTGTAGTATTTTTAAAGCCCTAATAAGACTTTTCTTCTCGTTTTCAAGCTCTTTAACTATCGTCTGAAGATCAGACATAGCAAGAGAAGCAGTGGCATTCTTTTCACGTAGTTGCTTATTTTCTGCTTTCAGCATTTGATTTGATCCTGCAGGGCCGTAACATAGACATCAGGTAGTTTGTCCTGTTTGAGATTATTAACTGCCGATGATAAAGCATCGATTTTTGCCGTTGTTGTTGCCACAAACTGCTCCATTTTAATTCTGAAATCATCTTGTGTAGAATTGCTTGACTGAGTGCTTTCTACATCCAGACCCAGGGTATTGATAGAATCAAACGTATGCAAATCACCGTCATATTCAGGCGGACTAGAGTTCGCCTTTGATTCCTTCCTATTTTTAACGATTGAGATTAGCTTTGTCTTTGCTTCGTTTGATTTTTCCCCTTTAAATGTTAGTGTACTATTATCTGAGTACCAATGTATGGCCAATTCCTGGGTTTCACACAATTTGGCTCCACTGCCTGGGGAAGTCCATTTCGTTGCTGTCGATATATGATTGATATTTATGAAACCTTTTCGTGCTTCAAAAGGTCCTTCCCATTCCAAAATACCTTTCCCTGTTACAACCAGATAATTTGCAATACTAGTGTATTTTATTAATTCGAATCCGCAATTGAGTTTAACAGATCTTAAGTCGTATCTAATATACTTTGATCGGAGCTATTTTCTGTGTGACCGTCATCCTTCGTTGGAGGCGTTTATCATATAATACTTGGCAAGAATGCTGTACTAGTACAACATGTTGCTGAAATTCACCCCATTTTTACCAAAAGGTTCGTATTTTATATAAATGTTAGAAAATTTGGGGTAAATTTTGGAAATACTTAGCAAGAATGCTGTACTAGTACAACATGTTGGTGAAATTCACCGCATTTTTACCAAAAGGTTCGTATATATAACTATTAGAAATACTTGGCAAGAATGCTGTACTAGTACAACATGTTGGTGAAATTCACCCCATTTTCACCAAAACATTTGTATTTTATATTAATATTAGTGCAATGCATGTCATATTTTTAAAATTCATCCGTTTTTATTCTATTTACGTAAAAAATATACAGACGTTCTCAAGGGTTTTCTATCCAGGATCATCACAGTCTCCTTCAATCGCAGATGTTCTTATTGCTGCAACCCTCACTAACAAAGTGTTCTAAACTGAGCTGCACGTTGCATTTCCTTTGTTTGAGGTGCCAATCATGAAAAACAACAAATTTCGCAAGGCTACATTATCCGCATTTTACAGCATTTCGCAACAAAACTTTGGAATATTACTAATTTTGTGTTGCTCTTTCAAGCTGTGCTCTTTCAAGCTGTGATGAAATTTTTGTCTAGATCAAAATTTTAGAAAGGTCCATTCATAGAGCAAAAACCAGAAGCCTTATTTTATTAGTTCATTTATTTCTGTATATTAATATACAATAAATTTCACTTCTCATAATTTAGTCTGTTCGATTCAAGGGAATGGAATGTGCAGTCCCTCGTCTACTTGTCTAACATCAACACTCTATCGTTTCTTCTACATAAGGGAAACAGTGGAATGTCTGGAAGAACGGTGTACATACATACATAAATGGATAGTTCATTATACTGTATAAAACATTCCAGCAAAATGCTAGATAGACCTTATAAGTGATTACCTGAGAGCAGTGCCAAACAATAAATTGCAATGCAATGGGTAAAACATGATTCAAACCTGTGTGACGTAAGCACTTCTAAGGTCTATCCAGTTGAAAATATTAATATTACAAAATGTCAATTTACTAATATAGTAATAATGATTCTTGTGAGTCACATTGGAAACATAAAACACTGCACCAGCGTATTCCATAATAGCTTGCAAAACTGGACCAGTTCATTAGTTAGAAAGTTTAGTCTTTTGCGAGCTTTTTTAACAACCTGTGATGCCTGTTTAAACTTGAGGTCGTTTGAAACAAGTAAACCCAATATCAAAAATACCCAATATCAGCTAACTATACTTCCCGACACCAACTTCATTGGAAATGTCGAATTTCTGCTTATATTTTTCAGGTAACCAACTTTCACCTGTTATCGTGCATTATATATTACGTTTATCCATTTACTTTTTTCATACCAATGAAGTTCAGACCACTGATCTGCACTTTTAGCTCTCACATGCAACCTTTCATGTCATTGCGATCCAAAAACAGCCAAACACCGGTCAAGATCACATTTTTTCACTGTTCGGAATGCATGTAAAGCTATTGTAAGAGTATTAAAATTATTCTCCTGCATTTGGTAATCAAATTGAAGTCTCTTAAGTAAATATGTGTATGTATAAGCATCCAAATTGAGCTTGCGGACGCAACTCACAATGACATATGTACGAAAGCTGGAAGAAAATTTAAATCTCAATGGTGGGACAGTGAGAATTCAACCAATCTTTAAATCAGGTTCCATTTGGTAATTCTTTATCGCAATCATTCCATAAAGGTGCCATTTGACAGCTAAAAAAGCCTGATCTTTGTTATGTAATTAACGCACGATAACCAAGGGTGGGTTGTAGCAAAGTAGTTGTAGTTCGCTACTGTAGCGAACTACAATTTTCAAGTAGCCAGTAGTTTTTGACTACTTTTTTAAAACAGTAGTTGTAGTTATAGCGAATTACATTTTGCCTAAAAGTAGCCAAGTAGTTGACTACTTTTCAAACAGCGAATCGCTATTCGCTACTTTTTAAAATTGTTAGCAACCTGATATAATAGCGCCATGATATTGAAACACAGTTTGCTTAAAATCAATACTCAATAGTCAATTTGCACTCCTGAACAGTGTAGTGCTTACAAAAATGATGCTTTGTGTTTACTGTTGGCTGTTGCTACTCGTAAGTCGATTTGTTATAGATTACATTACAGCCTGAGTTAGTAGATGCTCCAAATATAGTAAAACTAAAAAATATAGTGTAGCGAAATAGCAAAATAATTCGCTACATTTTTTAAGCAGTAGCTGTAGTCAGTAGCGAACTACCTTTGTTCAAAAGTAGCAGTAGTTGTAGCTGACTACATATTTTTGAAGTAGCTGTAGTTATAGCGAACTACAAAAATTTTGTAGTCAACCCACCCTTGACGATAACAGTCAAAGTTGGATTACCTTTTTTGGTACACTCTGTATATTACGACTACATAATGTACATATTAGTAGTAGACAGAAGGAGCCATATGGGTTCGTTCCTAAAACGCTGAAACCATATCATCATCACTATCGTTCTCTTCAACATTGTCGCTGTCACTGCCATAACCTGTTGAGTTGTCCGTTATTGAATAGGAAATACGCAATTCATCATCAATAAGTTCCTGCACATCGCTAAACTGTTGAAAATGTGACACAAGGATGCCAAGACAGATTTTCTGTTGTTCTCCTTCCTGTCTTACAACAGCAATGTTGCCCACGGAAAAAAGATCTGATTCAACACCTTGTAAAATTTTTATGTCATTTAGATAAAATTCTACGACATTTTTCATCTCATTCTTGAGAAGCCCTATTTCTGCAGAACACCTTTCCTTTAGATGGTAACAGTCTATAATTTGTTGCCTGAATGATTGTGTAGCTAAAGCTACAGAGCCTTCATCATTTGTTTCAGAAATGCCACCTTGTTCAAAGAGAAGTGAAGAGACAACGTCATGGATTGTGTAAGTAATGTACTCTGTGGTATCACGAAGTTCATATAACGTCTTACAAACGTTGTCCCGTTCTTTTAGGCAACACCGAATTGTTTTTTTGTGTGTTTTTTAACTCCTTTTTCAATCCTTTTTGCTATTGCTTGACCATCTATAAATAAATTAGCACAAATGTTTACCACAAATAGAGGTACGTACTGTCCTGCCCACCCTCCCAGAGAAAGACCACAACTTTCGGCAGGGCATTGACCGACTCGTTTCACATTTCATACAAAACATGTAATACCTATATAATAAAAAACATTGATCATTGTCGGAACTCATGTAAAATGTGCTAGGAACTCATCAAATGAATAGGTCGCACATCAAATGAAATGAGCCACACAATTATCAACCTATATCTATACTATCTGTTTTTTCAAAAGTCTTAGAAAGATTAGTATATACCCAATTGGATAATTTTCTTGAAAAGTACAATATAATGTACAATTATCAATTTGGATTCAGGAAAAAGCATTCAACAGAGCAAGCAATTCTCGAACTTACTGATAAACTAAAATCTGCGATAGATAATAAACAACTGACGTGCGGTCTATTTTTAGATTTTTCAAAAGCCTTTGATACCGTTAATCACAAAATCCTTTTAGAAAAGTTGCAAAAATATGGAATACGAGGTGTTCCACTCCAATGGTTTAGAAGTTATCTAACTAATCGCCAACAATACGTTAGGATAGATAACATAGACTCTGAAATGTTAAGAATGACTTGTGGAGTTCCACAAGGATCAACACTTGGACCATTATTGTTTTTGCTGTATATAAATGATATGCCTAACTGTTCAAAAAAGCTATCCTTCCGAATATTTGCTGATGACACAAATGTTTTTTACTCAGGTAAATCAGTTAGTGAAATTGAAATAGTAATGAATGAGGAAATTTAAAAAATCCATAACTATTGTTCTACAAACAAACTATCAATAAACTTTAAAAAACGAACTTTATGATTATTGGCTGAAAACAGAAAAAGATCGGTAAAATCCAAATTGGAAACATAGAACAAACACAATACATAAAATACTTAGGTATGTACTGTACATTGACAAACACATCACTTGGGAACAACAAATCAAACATGTAAAGGCCAAAATTTCCAAAAATACTGGCATCATAAACAAATTAAGATATTACCTTGATTTAAATATGCTTAAGCAACTCTACTATACCCTAATTTACCCTTTTATAAACTATGGACTAATGAGCTGGGCCAATACTTATACTTTTCATTTAACCAAGCTTCATACAGCTCTCAACAAGTGTATTAGAAGCATATTTTTTGCTCACAAAAGAGATGCCACTCCTTACTATAGCCTTTTGGGAATCCTAAAATTAGATATTGTCTTCAAGCTTAAAATAGCTAATTTCACTTACAAAATTTTAAATGAACCAAGTAATGTACCTAATATATTTTCTACATACGTAATGTCAGCTTCCGCGTCGCACTCCTATAATACGAGATTTGCTCCAAAAGAAAATTTTAGCAGACCAAAAATAAGAACTAATTATGGAAAATTTACATTTCAATTCTCTTCATCTAAAATATGGGAATCAGTAGAATACACAATAAAAAAATCTAGCTCATCCTATCTGTTGAAGAAACACTATAAGCAATCGCTCCTATTAACTCAAATGTAATTATAGAGTATATACAGTTGTGAATTCGTTCTAGCGCCGCTCTGTTCTCATTAGTAGCAAATTGTAGGCAGTGGACAACTCGAAAGCATTATGCTACTTTGTCCACTGCGCACGACATAATGAATTATTAACTCCAATTTATATCTACTACTCACCATAACCTTATTACTCTTCACTTTTGTAAATAATCTATATGACGTGCGCAACTTCAATAAAATTGTAAATTGTAAATTGTAAAAGTTATGAAATGAACTGGTCAACATTTTTTGGAATGCTTCTATTGGCACAATTGTCTTTTATTACTATAAAAACAAATTGGTCAAAGCGATCCATAAATTCCATGGCTGTCTGGGATTCAAATTCGTTTACATCAATTTCATTTGTGTTTAAGTGTTATCTCGCGATGTCGATGATATATCGCGTATGTAAATTTAAATTGGGAAATATTTTATGTAGTTTTCATAATTCGACCTATGCAAAAGATTGCTGAAGTTGATTGGTAAATGGTTCTACATTCTGCTAAGTTACTATGCATACAAAACACCATACATTGAGCTCCCAGATACACGACACTGGATTCGCTTGTCCCTGCACCCCCTGGAAAATCCACCCCTGAAATTGCAAAAATATGACAAAACAAAAGAAAAACTGTCATGAAAATTGTCAAAGGGGGAAATTTTGTGGGCAGACATTACTCCTGAACAGTATACTGTATGTTAATGTTGTGACAAGTGAATCCGGTATCCTCATTGTAAGCATGAAAATTTCTGCATTTTGGACTAAATATGTTGATAGGTTATATTAACATTTATGCTAATCATGCATGTAAACAGTATAAATACAGTAGGTTCTTATTATATATGTTACTTAGGTTCTAGAGAATAATAAAGCAATATTAACATGGTGGCAGCTAGTGGGTTTTAGACAAATATACACGTCTAACATCTCGGTACAAAGAGCAACTTAACATTAAATCATAGACGGATTTTCATATTTTTTACTGGGGTGGTGCCAGAAATTTTAGGGGGGTGAGCCATGAGCAGGTGACTGAAGCAACACAAAGTGTCACCAAACCCCAGTAAGGTCTATATTCTAGGGGTGGAGCACTAGAGCCGCGAGGGGGAGTCTAGAGAGCAGAAAACAAAGTATCCCTGGAAAAATTTGAAAAAAATCACGATTTCTAGCTTCGAAAAAACGTTTTTTGAAGTTGTCATATCAATGGATTTGGCCTGTCCGATCAGGGCCGTAGCTAGCATGTATAGTTGGGGG